ACGTTGTACATGTACTTTAGTACTGATGAGCTTTTACAGGAAGTTTTAGGCTTTCCATAAAATTATTCTAAACGGTAAGGGGCATTTCATGCGTTATGTTTGCTAACATAGCATATAAAATTGATTATATCGAAACCAGTTGAAGAAAAACTGAATGAAGACAGAGATGAGTAATCAGGTCGTGAAATATTAAAATGCGAAAGCATTGATAAGTTATTTTTCAAATATGTAACTAGAAGTACATCTAGATTTCGTTGACACTTGAAAAAACATCTGAAAATTCTGGATATTTAAAATGTTCCTTGTGTTTTAATTTCGTAGCCCAAAGATGCGTTAGCCCAGAAGAGCTATTAGTTTCGAAACGGCATTTTATATTAACTCACTAAAACCGTTGAATCATTTTTCAAATTCTTACCTCCCAATACTATCGCCCTGTATTATATTTAAAGAAATTAAATAATAAGGAATCTGCATTAATGTATGTATGTTTCGCATACTGTTATAAAAAAGGGTACCTAAAGCATTTAAATTTCAATAATGTAATCTTACACCTGCATATGATTACCTGAAATCTGGATTTTGAATTTCGAATTTGTTTGAGTATCTATTTCATATTTTGCAAAACTTTATGAATTTTTGATTATAAAACTCAAGAATTTCTGAGCGAGCAGTAGCAACACAGTACAGATAAAATATTTTTATCTCCAGGGCGTGAGACTGTTTATTGGAAATTTTAAAGATAAGTTATTTTCAAATATATTCAGTCCGAAGGGGCGTTATGCCAAATGCTCTTGAAACATGTATGTCTGTAAATGAAAAAAAAAAAAAAAAACCGGCTAATCTTCCTTAAGCGGGGTAAGTTCGCGCTGTTGTGTAGTGGCCGAAACCGCTATGCAAACCCTGGAATCTGACACAGGGTTGGAATGAACTTCAAACTTAAGTTTTAACAATAACATGAATTTTAATAAGTGAAAACTTTAACAGTTGCATATCTTGGCAATACTGGACCTGGATATACTTAGTCTCGTAATTTCAGAATTTTGTTACAGGAAAAATGCTCTAACGTATTATACAGGAAGAATGATTGTTCTTAGCAGGCCAACATGCCCATAGCTCTAAACAGGAAAATTCCCTCTCTCTTCTCAGGAAACCGCTTTATATGTCTCCCTGTGTTTACTTGTGCTGAACTCCCAGGGTGGGGGGAAGATTCTTTCACTCATACATAACAAAGAGTCCATCTCGTGACCCTGATGAAAAGACTTCTTTTACCTCTTAGCCCACTGGAGTGACCCATGAGGCTGCCACCGGAATCATTAAAAAAGGCACAGAATTTCACCACTGATATAAAAACTATTGCACTTTTCGGAAATCACTTATCCTAGACAAAGAACCTTCATGCCACCTTATCACAACTCCTTCCCTCATAGAAGAATTTTCTTAGGCGAATTTTTCTTAGAAGAAGGGAAAATTCTAAATACTTTTCACTGCTTTCAAAACAGAAGTGGTAACCATTTCAGTGATAATAGAGAAGCCAGTTACATTGCCCTGCTTTTATTTCTAGATAACATCACCTTGAGACAGATAAACATAAAAACAACAACACAACAAAAACAAACTATTCCTAAAGTCTGCCTCATACAAAGTATTGTTGCGTGCGTGCCGGTTTGTTATGAAATGAATGCACAAGTCCGATGAAAAATGATGATGTAGGCAAAAAGGATTTGAAAATAGAAGTTCTTATTGGAGCTGACGACGCAGGAGCTCTGTTAATCGGAAGAATTCAGAAATTAGAAAATGGGCTGACCCCTGTGGAATCACTACTTGGATGGACAATCATGAGAAAGATAAAAGATAACGTTTCAGAAAGAAATTCCTTTGTCCATGTCGTCTACAATAACGTCGATGTTGATTCACAGCAGTGAGATAGAAAATTTGTGGAAGCTAGAAGCACTGGGAATTACAGATTCTGAAGAAAATAAAACTGATTTAGAGTTAGAACAAGCAGTGTGCGATCACATTCACAAGACTCTGAAGAGGGTGGGTGATCGATATGAAGTCAGTTTGAAAGTTGATCATTTGGCGGAAGAAGTTGGATCAACGATAAAGAAGCTTTACCAAGTAACAGAGAAAAATCTGAAAAACGATTGATTTCCACAGCAAAGAAGTTCTTGTTGAAAGATTGATTTGAAACATGAAATGCAGTGTTCGAAGAGTGGCTCGAATCTGGAATAATAGAAGAGGTAACAGAAGAAGAGGAACGAGTTAACAATCATTATCTTCTCCACAGACCGGTCTTCAAAAATAACTGTACAACAGCAGTAAGGCCTGTATTTGACGCTTCGTTCAATCAAAAGGATTTCCTGTCACTTAATGACTGTTTAGCAAAAAGGCAAAATTTAATTGAATTAATACCTAGATTGCTTCTTGAATTTAGGCAAGAAAAAATAGGGATTATCTCAGATATTAAAAGAGCTTTTCTTCAAATATCTGTTCAAAGATCTGATCGTGCTTTTCTAAGATTCCTATGGAAGACAAACTCGGAACAAAAGGAAATAAGAAAATTTCGCCATTGCAGAGTAGTCTTCGGACTAAAATGCAGTCCTTTTCATTTAGGAGCAGTGATCAACTCTCATTTAAGACCAATGTGAACCTCTCTTTGAAGGAAATGGCTACAAAATTGAATGAAAATTCCTTTTATGTTGACAACTGTGTCACTTCAGTGAATTCGAATGAAGAAGCAGAATACTTTATTGCAAAATCAACTCAGTTAATTGCAAATGCTAACTTTGACTTAAGAGGGTGGGAATAAACAGAGCTGAGCAGTGCAAAATCTACAATGAGCGAACCATTGAAAGTATTTGATCTTCCGTGGGATAAATATGAAGATTCTTTGTTTTGTGACATCCCTAATATCAGCTTGATTGATCTCTCAGTGACAAGGCGAAACGTACTATCAATTTTACAGAGAGTTTTTGACCCAATAGGTTTCACCTGTCCTTTTACACTTCTTCCAAAGTTATACTTGCAAAACAGCTGTGAAACTAAATTGAGCTGGGATGCAGAGCTACCTGAGGATATCAAAAGAAAATTCTTGAAGTGGGTCAAAGAATTTCCCTTGCTATCATCTGTAAAGATTCCCAGACTACTTCCACTGACAAAAGGACGATCTTTTAGTTTGCATACGTTTGCCGATGCTTCACAGGGATCTTATGCAAGTGCAGTATATTTGGGAAGTCAAAATAAAGATGTCAAAGTGACTCTAGTACAAGCCAAATCACGAGTGGCTCCCTTGAAAAAATAAGTATACCACGACTTGAATTGCTTGCTTGTCTTATTGGGGTGCGATTAGCCTAATTTGTCAAGAAGAACCTTAAGGTCGAAATTTCAAAGGAATATTACTGGACCGTTTCTTCAACAGCACTATTCTGTATAAAAAACGTAGAAGTTTGGAGCACTTTTGTGAGTAACAGAGTTTCAGAAATTAGAATCCTATCGGACCGGAAAAATTGGCATCATGTACCAGGTGCGGAAAGGACAGCCGATATGCCATCAAGAGGATGTTCTGTGAAGAAATTCATTGAATCAAGATTGTAGGAGAGCCCACCTTGGTTGACAGAATGGCTTTGTTCTATCCGAATCGATAATAAAGAAGAGGTTAATACTGAAAAACATAAAGCAGTTATAGTTTCGTTAAGCAATGTTAGCAATATGTCTTTACAATTCTTTGGCTATTTTTCAAAGTATAAGAAAATACTTAGAATGATTGGTTGGATACACAGATTCACGGGAAAGACTCGAAAGAGGAAAGAATAAAAGAGAAGCAGGAGAGTTTGAAGTTTATGAACTAACAAGGGCTGAGAAATCTATCGTGAAGATTATTCAGCATGATTCTTTTTCCTCTGATGATATTAAGAAGCAAAAGTCAATAAGTCCGATGAAAATGATGATGTAGGCAAAAAGGATTTGAAAATAGAAGTTCTTATTGGAGCTGACGAAAGATGACGAAGGCATTTTATGTGTCAGGTGCAGGAGACGTGGAGGTAGACTACAGATTGTGCCTGCTACTCTACCAGAAAACAGAGATGCCCGTGTTTTCGCGATTGTCGGCGTTGATTTAGCTGGCCCATTAATTTTGAAGGATAAAAGAAAAGCTTGGATTTTATTTTTTACATGTGCTGTTTTCAGGGCGGTCCGTTTGGAACTGATTTTGTCCCTTTAAACTCAAGGATTTTTACTTTGTCTTAGAAGATTTATCGCCCGTAGAGGGAGGCCATCGATAATTTATAGCGACAAGAGAAGCAATTTTGTCGGATCTAATAATCTCTTGAGATTGATTAATTGGAATACCATTGAGAGAGAAGCCGCCACAAACAAGATCGATTGGAAGTTGAGTCCACTCGCAGCACCATGGGGGGGGGCTTTTGGGAATGAACTTGTACAAATGATTAAGTAGCTTTTACGTCAGGTCCTAGGCCAGTCGTGTCTGAATTATAAAGAACTGATGAGTGTGCTGTGCAACCGCTAAGCAACTGTGAATGCCACACCACTCACCTAAGTGTCAGAAGTGTCAGAAGACTCTGATGATCTCATCCCTTTGACACCGTCCTTTTTTTTAGGTGAAATTCCAGTCTTTGACCTGACTTGGATCACCTTGATAAAGTTGATTTCAATAAGAGACTGAGACATCTACAGAATTTACGAGAGCTCTTGAGAAAAAGATTTATAAATGAATATCTCGGCGTGCTAGTGCAACGTCCATCTACAGTGCCGACTTCTCAACGGATAAAAATCGGCGACATAGTTCTTATCGAATGTGATGACAAACGCAAGGTGTGGCCTTTAGCAAAAGTGAGTGAACTATATCCCGGAAAAGACGGCAACATTCGAGTAGCTCGTGTCAAAACCATTAATTAGCTGAAGAATTAGTTCGACCAATCCAGATTATCCAGATCCAATATTCTCTCTCGAAATACCTTCATCTTTGGAGTCAGATGAGGCAAATGAAACTAAGACGCAGGGTGAAGACAGTTTAGTCTCAAAATTACCAAAGAATAATTCAGCTGCAGATTTACCAAAAGACATTAAGACTATCGTGACTAGAAGTGGACGACAAATCAAAATTCTATCTAGATTTCTAACCTGAACACTGCTTGAGTTATTTTAGAGTAGAAATTTAAGAACATAATTTTTTCTTTTGTTTACTTTTTAGCCTTAATATTTGTGTGGACAGTAATTTCTTATATTTTGTTTTGATTGATTAAGTATATGTCATCAATCAAAAGGTGGGAGTATTGTTAGAACTCAGCCTCAGTTCTTATCTTTCTTTTCATAGTTTGTCATTGTAAGACTTTTGATTGTAAGACAACCATGTGAACTTTGTTGTAGCTTGTTGTAGTTCTACGGATTTTTTAAAATAAATATGATGCTTTGGAATTTTATATGTAAAGTTATTTTATTTAAAGTTTATTAGGAGAAAGGAGAACGGTTAGTTCTTGCAAATCTCGAACAATGACTGAGCTGATCCTAAGATTTTTAAACGTAGAACTACGTTTTTCAATGACTGTCTAAGGGGCAAAAACATTTTAAGACACAAAACATGTCTTAGTAGAAGGTTTATATCTCAAAAACACCAAACGTTATACTTTTCTTTTGTGGCTTATTTAATAGCTGAAGACGATCATTACAAAGCACAAAAAAGTTTCAAAAATTGGAATTGTTGTTTAGACACACTATGTTCTCAAATTTACACAAAAATACACAATATTTCGATACCATCACAAGTGCGCACACACAAATTAGATTAAACACCAATAAGTTCTATGTTGGAATCAACAAAGAGAGATTGTAGGAGCAACGTACTGATTTTGTTTATACATAAAATAAATATCAAATGCTTAAAAATAAAGATATACTAAGAAAGCGAGTGCAAGAGACAAGCAAAAAATTTAAAGTTTTATTGAAAGAAGATAATAAAGAACGTTTAGCTGAAAAAGTTATGAACGCCACCAAAGATATCAAAATAATAAAAAGAAAAAATTGAATAAATGTATATATGTATATTTAACATCTGAAAGCCGTTTCATGCTTTTTCTTTATATGAAAGAAATTTACTTTTGTGAATGCTTATTTTGTAAGGTATATTCATTTTGCGCATCCAAAATGAGTCGAAAATTTCTAATAGCTGAAGAAGCTTTAGAATATTTTACGATATTAGATGATGAAGATACTGAGCCGGAAATGGTAATAATACCACCTGATCCAGATGCAGTCAGTGATAATGAAGGAATAGACTATGACTGCACTAAGACTAGACATAGCCAAGCTATTTGTGATGAAAATGCAGCAGGAACTATAGAAACAGCAGTAACTGTGGAAATTTTAGTAGGAAATGAAGATGATGAAATATGTGTGCTAAAACCAGATTGGAAAGATTGCTTTCCTAAATATTAACGGGCTTCAGAAATATTTTCTCAAGATTCTTCTTTTACCTCTTTGTCCACTCGAGTGACCCACGAGGCTGAAACCGGAAGCATTAACAAAGGCACAGAATTTCACCACTGATATGAAAACTATTGCACTCTGAAATCACTCATTTTAGACAAAGAACCTTTATGCCATCGTATCACAACTCCTCCCCTCATAGAAGAATTTTCTTAGATTATGGAAGGGAAAATTCTAAATACTTTTCACTGCTTTCAAAACACAAGTGCTAACCATTTAAGTGATAATAGAGAAGCCAGTTACATTGCCCTGCACTTATTTCTAGATAACATCACCTACACTTCATAATATCGGAGCATCTATTTTAAAATTAGATCCACTTAAAGTTGCTGTTCATCTAAAAACCTTAATACCAGTAGGTACCGCAATAATCATAGTAGCAGCAGTAAAATAAGCTCGCGTATCAACATCTGTTCCTACAGAAAACATATGATGGGCTCACACAACAAATCCTATCCCTATTTCTACTATAGCATAAATTATCCCTAATCTTCCAAAAGGCTCCACGCTTCCCAACAGAAGCACTAATTACATGAGAAATAATTCCAAATACGGGTAAAATTAAAATACATACCTCTGGATGCCCAAAAAATCAAAATAAATGTTGAAATAAAATTGGATCTTCTCCTCCTACAGGATCAAGAAAAGAAGTATTAAAATTTCGATCCGTTAATAACATTGTAATTGCCCCAGCAAGAACAGGTAAGGACAATAATAATAACACTGCAATAATTAATACTGACTATACAAACAATGGAATTTTTCTATTGCTATTCCATAAGAACGTATATTTATAATTGTAGAAATAAAATTAATTGCTCCTATAATAGAAAAAGCTCCAGCCAAATGTAAAGAAAAATTAGCAAAATCTACTGATCTGCCTGCATGTCCTATTAATGACGCCAAAGGAGGGTAAACAGTTCGTCCTGTTCCTACATCTATCTCAGCTATTGATGATATAATTAATAAAAATAATGATGGAGGTAATAATCGAAAACTTATTATTTATTCGTGGAAAAGCTATATCAGGAGACCCTAATATTAATGATATTAATCAAATTTCAAACCCACCAATTATAATAGATGTAACTATAAATATTATTACAAAAGCATGAGCAGTAGCAACTACATTATATAAATGATCATCCCCTAATAATCTGCCAGTTCGACCCAATTCAGTACGAATAATTCAGTTACATTGTATCCACTAGTGACATTCAGTCACTAGACTAAAGCACGACTCAAGCCATCCGCATTACCTTGTAATTTGCCTAGCCTATGAACAGTTTCAAAATTCTACTGTTGGAGACATAATGCCCATCGAATCAAAACGAGAATTTGATCCGATCATTTTGTTTAAAAAAGTCAACGGATTATGATCCGTCTGGATCTTGAATTTTTGTCCGTCTAAGTAATGATTTAGTTTCTTCAGTCCATAAATAATGGCCGCAAGTTCCCTTTCAATTGTGCTATAATTTCGCTCAGCCTTAGAAAACGTTTTGCTAAGATACAGTAGAGGCTGTTCCTCCCCATCCTGAAATTGAGACAACACAATACCTGCACCATATAAACTAGCATCTGTTTGCACAATGAATTCTTTAGAATAATCTGGTTCAAATAAAACCGACTTTTTACTAGTTTGTCCTTAAGTTCGTTAAAAGCTTCGTCACACTCTTTTGTCCAAATCACTTTCACTTTTCCCTTTCTTCCAAAGGAACTTTAATTGATTTCTTCGTCGGTGGAGTTTCTCTTGCTACCAAAGATTTAACTTGAGAAGCATTAGAAATCGTACGTACGTTT